CTGAGCAGGTCATTATTTCTGCAAAGCAAACAGGTGGAATCAGAGCAAATATGACATAAAAGTAAACAAATCCATATGTAAAGCACTCTATCCCCTAAAGACCTCTTCATTTCTAACACAAAGGAGTCTGATTGAAACCTTTACGCATATACAAACCAAACTCTTCAATGCAGCTACAAGTAACAAGTTTATCCTATGTCCAAATACAATCCACGGTCACAACAAAGCGCTGGAATGAAAACCACACAAAGGTTTCTAAACGCGAACAACCCCACACCTGACTTTTATCAGCTATCAAAGGAAACGCTGCTCCTGTGCCACAAGCTGGATGTTTGATCCACCTGCCTCCGCTTTGATCGCAGACTGAAATCTTTCACACGTTAGTTAATGCTATCCAGGTGTGATACCAACACGCCGGGGTTTCATTCTGGTGGCACTCATCTGTTGCTGTTATCACTCAGAGGCAGGATAACAAAATGCTAAAACCCCCCAAATTCAAGATAGGAAAAGTGAGAGGAGAAAAGTGAATTCCTGCCCAGCCACCCACATGGTCATTTTCCCTGATCATCCCAAAGCGATTCAAAGGGAACCTGCACACTGGGACCATGGACACCTCAGAGGCCCCTCTGGGCTGCACCTCCTTAAACAAAGGGTATTTTAGCAGACAGCAAAGATAAGGCAGCGGGGTCTGGCTGGATCAGCTCTTCATTAGCACCTTTACCGAGTGACACAGGTTCCTAAGGAACAATGTGCTTCTTAGAGCAAAAGTTAAGGCTAGTGAACGAGCGATGAAATAAAGAGAAATAACAAACTCCATCATCCAACACGAGCCAACGATGCACAACACAATGAAGTACAACCATTATTTTTAAGACAATAATTAATATTTATTTTGTTTCAGCAACTGCAAGTAACACAAGAAGAGAAACCCACATACATGACCCACACTTCGTACATGAGAATGCCAACAGCAACTCATTTACGTTTTGTCCTGCCAGTCAGAAACCTTTATACCCCCATACATTGGTGTTGGAATGAAATTAATGAAAAGTATTTTAACTTCTAAATCAGCAATCAAAAGCGCTTTCCTTCAGTCAGTTTTGTGTACAGAAGATGATGCACTGGTTCACCAGTATGTATGTGAATACTGTATTCTGACAGCTGGACAGCAAACTACTGAGGAAAAGAAAACGGCAAAAGTTATTATATCTCATTTAAAATTGCATCCATTCTCCCCTACATCTTTGTTTACTGTGTACAAAATTTCCATGCCAAACGGAATACCTTCAACTCCCCCCTGGGCAAGCTGACCACTATGCCTTTAGCATCCAGTGCAAGTAGAAATTATTGGCTCCAGTGAACCGCTAACTAAAAATATCGTATTAGCTGGTTTGCCCAAAAGAAAAGGGCTCTGTGTACCATGCAATCACTTGGCCAGCAAGCTCCACAGGAATTGCTTCTATAAACAGTTTCAGTTGCAACAGGGTAAACAGGAAAAGCCAAACTTAGACATATAAAAAAAAGTGTGCAATGTACTATTCTGAAAATGTGGAAGAGTCGCCCTTTCATCACCCCAAAATCTGGAAGTTTTGTGACTTATCTTTTTATTAATGAGAAAATAAGGATGTACATTAATCAACTCATTTTCTAATGAATATTAAAATTCTCCTTCTCTTGATTATACTTAGCAAAACCAGACAAAAACATTCAAGTAAAGCCCCTGAGACTTTTGCAGATGTGGTGTAACCGTGCAGAACAATGCTACCAAAGTTCAGGATCAGCCATGGAACGAGACACACATGATTAAACCAAGGAGCTCAGCGGAGCCGCCTGCTGAAGCTGGAAAGCAGCGAAGAATAACCCGCTTCTACAAACCATGAAAACACGTGAAGATGAGGAAAAGTGAACCTCTTACAACGTTTTATCTGAAAGACATCCCCAACACCACCCTACGCATGTTCGGTAACAAACGGTACCCATGAATAACCGACACATACTTTTTTTCTGCAAAACCTGCGTGTTCTCCAAATTTCTGACAAGCACAGGAACGTCAGTCTTGATCACATACCGTGACCATCATCAATTCTCAGAGCCCTTCAGCTGGCAACTGAGTTACCCAACGACAAGATATTTCATTTTTCCCTTCTGATTTAAATGAGTTTGAAATGGTTAACTTTAGAAAAGCTGCACTTATGTGTGACCACAACATAGTGATACAACACCCCCCCCACATCCCGGGTCCATTTCCATCAGCAGAATGTAAAGCTATGTCACGCTTCAGATGATCATTACGATATACAGTGAATTAGGAAAAAAAGAACTTGGTGTAAAATGAAAACCTCGGGGTATCCTCTACAGTGTGAGCTGTGCGGAAGGAAAGTTAGAACTTGTACTGTATGCCATGACTTGGGAAGCAACACCCCCTTTAGAAATGGCTCATCAGAATTTTAAACATGGATAAGATACTCTTCAGATCTGCCCACTTCCATTGAATCTTTTCCTCCAGAAAAAAAAAATAAATGTGAACACTGCTCCTCGAGTCAGGTACTTACTGCACTGCTTCCTAAGAGACCACAAAGACAACCTCGTGCCAGCAGTTAAGGTTAAACACACACTTCACATGTTTTAAGCTCAAGAGAGACTGATCACTTGAAGTTCTTGAAATTAGTGCATTTCCTTCTCAAATCAGACAGAAAGAAAACTGTGCTGGTTTTGTTTTGGTTGTTTTTTTTTCTTAAATGTTGTTCACTGCACTCCTGCCTACTCCCCCCGCCTTTAAAAAAATTTTTTTTTAATATAACCCAGGACTTAAAATGACTCAACATCCTCAAATTGTGTTTGAAGGAAAACATGAAAAACACCTACAAAGCTAGCAGCAACCTAGAGCACGCTTTTAGATCTCCAGAATCGCCTTACCCCTTGCTTTACCGTCATTTTGTACACCGAAAATTCTCATTAAACTCGATGCCTTATTGTACTCAGTAATGAACACCTAAAAGCAAGCGAGTCTCATCTCAAAACAACTTTTTCAACTGACTACAATAAACCGATACTTGTGAATCTGAGTAAGATGAAAGGAAAACATGTCCCTTAAGTCCCTGCTTCTGTAAAAATCCTCTCACCAGCCCAGTGACATCCACCTGCCGGCGCGAGAGCTACAGCCCAAGCGAGCAGTTTTCTTTTTGTCTTATGCAATTTGCTCTGCTTCCACAAAGATGAGATAATTGATGCTTAACCGAATGAAATTCAAGTTATAGTGAGAGGGCTGGAAACAGAGCCCTCAGACACAGGCTGGAGGGTCCCCCTTGGTCATGACACCCCTCCCTGAGCTTCTTTCACCCCCTTTTTCCTGAATTATCAAGATTTATTTTAAACCCAGTTGGTCTTCTGCCTACACCACGTTTGTTCCCAAACTCCACATCTCAGCTGGGTAGAAAATCTCGCATTTCTCACCCAAATTCACGACTGCCTTACTGCTCATTTGTCTTTACACGAAGTGGCCCTTCAGCTTTTAAGTAAAATCTGAAACCAACTGCCTTACTGCTCATTTGTCTTTACACCAAGTGCCCCTTCAGCTTTTAAGTAAAATCTGAAACCCTCTAACCGAGAGCGGGATGATGGATGGAGGGCAGCCCCGTCATTATTCCCGTTTATCATGACAGAAGATGAAACTGCCGATTTCCCCTGTCACGAGTCACGGATCCCAACACGCGGTGCATCAATCACCCGCAGCCGAGCATCCCTCCCGCTCCCGCCCGCCCGGGTGCCAGCTGAGGGCACTCTTCCCTCTGCACGCAAGGGATCAAACCGCGGTACAGGATCTTGGCTAGTGCACTGCAACGGCGGGATCCGCAGCCCGGGAGCCCAGCTTCAACCACCTAAATCTGATTTAACTGCAGATCATTCAATAAGAGAATTACTGGGGAAGGAGCAAGAACGATGCATTAGCAACTCTCCCCCAAGCATTAAAGCTACAGAACGAGGTATAAAGATTTTTTTTCCTCTAAATTTAGGAAGATTTTTAAAAAAAACAATTCTACTGTTCAGACATGAGAAGCTAAAAGAGATACTAAGAACGACATCATGCTGTGCAGTCTTTTCCCTTTATCGTACAACCCAAGTGACCATTAAAAGTTCTCTCTTTTTTTTTTTTGCCATCAAGGAAACTAAAAATAAATACCTTAAGTGAACCTTCTTTCTATCTAATTGCTGAATTTTCTCACTATAGATTAAAATACATGTTTTCTGCTGGAAACTAACACATAGTGCTCAGAAAGCCACCGCTTGCTGTTTTATGTCACAAATGATATCCTCATCTTCTGAGAGTACATAGAAAATACTGCATTAATAATTTTTTTTTCTTTGTGCACCAGAGAATCAAGCTCTTTTACAATTTCAACGAAGAAAATACAAGAGGATGCTGAAAAATAAGCTGTCCACACATCATGGTACATATCCGCTGTGTCCGACAGGTCACCAGCAGAAAAACATTCATTTCCATGAGTGACTATAACAAACAATCAATAGCTGCTCAGTGCTTAGAGACGGGTCTGAAAGTAAACAGCAAGAGGTAAAGATCACGCGACCTACAAAATCCCAACCGCTTCTACAGACACAGGGCACCAGTCAAGCCTCCTTTCAACGTGAGGCAATTTGGGATTCAAAACCTTTGCAGCCACTTCTTTCAGCACAAGGACTCAAACACTTTGCATTTTGTTTCTAAGGACCATTTTGCAAACAAGTAAAAGAGAAATTTAGAGGCCAAGCACTACGCACACGTACACTAAACGCCTCCTTCCACGGCTTCAGCAGTTAACATTGAAGTTGGATCAATACCAGAGACAAGTTTCTGAATTTTATGGAAAGTGGGATTAAGCAGAACTTAAAACTGGATATAAACACACTGGTAATAATAAACAAGACAGCGACCCGTGTTTTCTTCTTGATAATGAGTTCACTTACAGTATCAGTAAACAAAAAGTGTAAAAACATCAACTTACGAGAGAGAGAATGCGTGCCTTTGGGCAAGTACTCGAACAGCAGCGAACTATCGTCTCCCAGCATGTCGGCTTTCAGAGACAGCAAACTGTTCTTACTCATGAGAGCCGCGCGCAGGTTGGCGACGGTGGCAGCCTGCAGCGCATCCTCCTTCTCCGGAGTCAGGGGCTGCGAGATGTAGCTGGCTTCCCCACCCAGGAGGGCTTCCTCCACGCTGGCGTAGGGGTCCGACCGCTCCACCCTGCTGTCAGAGCTGCTGGGCTCCGTTACTGTCACATCAGCACCTGCGGGATGGAAGATGCCGTCAGAGATGCAAACAAATTCCTGAGACGAGGCACGCTGACCCTGCACCACGGGTCCAAATCACTGAGATCCAGGAACTTATCACCACCTGTTCTGGCTTTGTTGTCACCTTCCACGTGTCTCCATCCCCTTTTCCAAAAGTCTGAAGATAAACTCCTGCCCCGTTACCTGGTCTTAATTTCAGTACCACGCACTAAGAAGGCAGGGCAGAGAGATGTGTACAGCCTCCCTCACAGCCAGTAACTGGGTAAAGCTATTTATTTCTCTTAAACTCAGATTTCAGGATAGTCTGCTAATACTGAAATTACTTTCAAGCACTTAAATTCTGGTTTTTTTTTCCCGTAATTTTACTCTGGCAGTCTGAGTTTTCATTCTGTCCTCCCCATGATTAAGGTTTTGAAAAATCCAGTAATAAACAGGCTTTAATAGTGGACTGCTAATTAGGTTAAATTCCTTGGGGTCCTTTATTTGAAAAATACACAGCAACCAGTGGTTCCCAGCATACATCACAGGGTGGGTTTTATGTAGAAGTGATACAGTTAAAAACAAAAACCAAAGGCACAGATTAGCCACTTCACAACAGGCAGCCACAAAAGAAGCTGTATAAAAACGTCACGGACTATTAACAAAAACATCAATTAGTGAATCCAAACAAAAATGAAAAAGCTATGATAAGGTGAATTCCTCCCTGCCAAACACCATTTATTTTTGTATTTTTTTGGGGAGGTTTAGTTAAGAGTCTCTCTTGTCTGAACTCTGACTCTCTTATAGTCTTATATAATCTGTGGTTTTTTTATGTAAAGGAAAGTGACTCTTACATTTCTCTATTCTTCACATGAAACAAAACAAAACAAAAAAAAGCTACAAAAGGGCTGTTACCCCATTTTTATTTAAGCACTTTATAGTGCTTAAAACAAACTGCAATGACCTTCTCCAGAACCTGCAGCAGCAGAACACAGCTGGCACGCTCAGAACCCCGCTGGGGACCTGGCTAACGTGGCTACAGCTTCCCAACACACACACGCCTCTGGAGCACTTGTACTGCTCACGACATAGAGGGGAAAAAATCCAAATCCAAAGAGAAGGTATTATTGACAATGACTGCTCAGATGGAAAAGAAGCTGTTTTGCACATTCTGAATGTTTTACTGCCTCCTAGTTCAAAATGTGTTTAAATCTACTCAATGCAAGAGGCAGCTGTTACCGTCCCAAACGGTGGTACGACACGTCCAAAATTCCCACTCAGCTGCTTTCAGGAATTGATCTTGCACTTGTGAGGGCAAGGAGCTCGGGTGCTGTCCATACCCACCGCAGTGACACGCTCACTCCCCTGCAGAAGGTTTGACAGCAGCAGAGCTCCCGCGGAGGGAGCAGGAGTGCGGCACACTCGCGTTCGACAGCTTCAAAGCAGGGCAAGGCATCACTCCGCAGAGCCTTATTAAAAAATGCTAATGAGGACACCGGGGCAGGGCCCACCTCCTGTCACCTGGAAATCTGCTAACAGGAGATCATTATTTCTATCTCCATTTTGCGTGGTGACTTGCTCAAGGTGTCCAGCATCAGCCAGCGAACTTGCCAGCCCCAGCCCCGGGCTGGTCCGGTGCCTGCCCACATTCAGATTTACTTTACTAAGCTGCGCTGTACTGCCAGTACCTCTTGCTGTTAATTTTTTCCACTTCCCTTAAAAAAAAAAAAAAAAAGCCTCAAAGCAAACAGTAAGGAAAAAACAATCCTTAGCAGAGTCCTCCGACACCCCGGAGATGGGAGGAATACCCAGGGCTGGGGGCTACCAACACTATGTGAACTGCCAGAGATGCTCTCTCTTTAAAACCGATAATTTTCCCTCCTCCATCTGTGTTTTGCTTGTATGATCTCATATGATCAGTTTTATTAAATCTTTGTCAAGCAGAAGGATATAGTCATTTTCAATTTTTACATCCCTCTGTTACGAGTGAGTGGCTAACAGGTATACACACTTCCTAGACGATAATGAAGTTTGTTTTAAAAACAAACATTTCTGCACAAAGGGAAATTACAAGAGTTTAAAGACCAGCAGCTGCTCCAGAAGGTGGTGAAGAGGTAAATTCTAGCCCATTAACCTGGTAATGTAGCAGCTTTATCACATCAAACCCGCAATAACACTGCTGCCCCTCTGCTCCTCACCGCCTACACCGCCAACAGCTCGGGCCAGAAAGGGTGTTTGTCAACAACACGGCATCGCCAAGCACAGGGCAGGCAGTAAATCACCTTGCGATTCCTCCCGTCCCTTTCCAGAGCCGGTTCCAGATGCTGATTGACAGTTGCCAGAATCCGTTGCTGCCTGCTGCACATAAACACTAATTGCTCAAACACACGCGGATTAATTGTAACCACAACAAGACATTAAAATGTTCCTCAAAAGCCAAGATGAGAGACAGACAGTGAAATAGAGGCTTCAGAGCTTCCAGTATTTACAGCTGATGTAACCTAATCAAATACACATTAAGGCAAAATAAATATCCACTTAGTCACATAAGTACCAAAATATCTCAGCACACCAAAACCCAGAAACGCACCGAGTTCCCCTCCGCGACGCCTCCAAAACCACTTCTCCCGTTTCTCTAGAACACAGCTTCTTTCAACATTTCACCAAAGAATTATATGAATCAGAAGTATCCGTCACTGCCCGGTAATCTAAACTGTTTACTACAGCGCTTCGGCAGGACGTAAACCAAGCGTTGGGAGATGAGCTGCTCTTCTGTGATTTTTCAAGGCAGCGGTCAGGTGGCAGCGCGGGAGCTCCATCCAGCTCCTCCACATCTCATTCCTCACACCGCTGAGACGGTCCCTGCGACTGCACCGGGCGCAGGAAATCCCCATCGGGGCTGCAAGCTAAACACGGGATTAACGCTGCTCTGAAAAAACTGAGCTCATTAGTCTCTTTAGCAAATAATTATTTTGCCGTTACTCTATTACACCCGCCTGCTTTCCAAAACACAGAAGCTTTAGAAAAGCTTCAGTAGCTTGTTGACTTGGATGAGGTTTTTTGTTTATTATTTTTATTTTCAAATAGAACACGGAATATTTTTACAGGTTTGGCAACAGCATTTCCACACATCCCTGAAACTCTGAAAGCAATATTTAACTGGTAAAGTTCTTATTTACACATGAAAACCTAAAGTAAAGGGAATATTCGAAGCCTGATTACAAGCAGCTTCTCACAGACATCACACATCCCAGCTGAGCAAAACGTGCTTCATTCCCAACCACGGCAGCTTTAACGGATCTACAACCAGGAGCAGTGCTCACACCAGGGTACTACAAACATTACAACGTCCCCAACACCACGGGTGGCTGCTGCGTGGACATTCACACCCGGGCAAACCAGAACCGAACCGCGGGCTTGCTCTGCAAGGGATGCACAGCCACGGGAAACGCGTTTGCTTCGCTGCACTCTGCAAAATCCCGAGCAGAAATCTCATTTCTCAGCAGGTGTGCCACTACTACCAGGAAAAAGGAAAAAAAAACCAACCTACGTGAAAGTCACATAAACTGAGCTCCTGTCACAAACCCAGCTACGAGAAAATCAAGGTGTACTAGACAAAAAAATCAAGCGGTACTGCAGACAGCCACCCACCCCGGGCAAGGGCTGCGGCAGGAACACAGGTGATGCAACTTACTAAAAGCATCCGAATGAAATGTTAATGCAATTAATTGGTTTTTTGCAAGATCTAGGAGAAAACTGACAGTAAAAAGCATTAAACCTAGTCAACTGAAAAAATACACGTGATCTCAGAAAGACCAAGGAAAAGCTGCTCTATTTTAAGGAATGCATTTGAGTACCTTCATTAATTACTTTAATGCACAAACTAATTTTTTTCTTGTATTTCTTTTCCCTGCTTCAGTCATTTTTCCTCATTACAGCCTAAACTCAGCCGTTTGTACTGCGTTTTTACCTTCTCAGCATACCCCCAGCAGTGTTTCCTGTTGTTTCCCAGGCTCCCAATGCTATTTATCTCTTTCATAATTTGGTTTTTTAATCATTTTCTTCCTCTTCCAACTTTTATTCCTGCTCTCTCATGTACACAGTTGAACATCTCTGAGAAATCTGCAGCTGGAGGACTAAGCCCATGAGAAGAGAGAAAGGTGTGAATAAAAGCCATACAAGATGACATCTGCTGCTGGAAAATTCAAAGCAGAACACGCTCTTCAAAAAAAAAGAACCAACGGGAACGTTTTGCCAGGTCGCTGTTTTTCCATATTGCCCTTTTCATTACAGTCAAAGGAGACCGAGAAATCCATCTTCTCTTCAAAGTCCTCTTCTGTTTGGCAGGAACACAAAGCAGGGATGTTTTTCCCCTCGGTCTCCGGAGTCTCCAGGCTGATGAGGTCTCACGACACGCATCGTCAGGCGACGCCAACCTCGCCAACGCGACCCAGCCGCCGGCGAGGCGGGGAAGTCAGCCGGCAAATTCGGGAGCCCTTGAATGGAGTGCAACGCTATTTAGCTCATCACTCACAACCAAAGCTTTCAGCAGGTCTCTGTAGGTTCTCTATCACCCTGACAAGTTTCAGGAAGCTTTTAGGAGCCCTTCTGACCTCTCAGCTCCCCCCATTTTACCCCGTTTCCACCCAGCAGGAGCTGTTCCTCCAGGGACACCGTTCTGACGGGAGGTCAGCGCTGCTCAGCACCCAGAGCAAACTCATCACAAGTCCCCACCACCTCCAAAGACAGCGGCAGTTCCACCCATCTCCCATCACAAAGCGCCCTTACCCTTTCCGCACAGCTCGCCCGAGCCGCAGTACCTGTTCTGGCAGAACTGAAGCCTCCAGATGCTTCAGCAGAAGGAACACCATCGTCCTGCCGGGTCCACCAGCATCGCTTAACCAGCACCAGTAACGCCGACAGCTGAACCCAGCCACGGGCTCTGGCTGCCTGCGCTTGGTGGACACTTGCCAAAGCTATGGGTGACAGCAAGATCCCACAACTATCTGGAGCTAAT